GAGCACTCATTGAAAAGGTTGCCACATTCTTCACACTTGTAGGGTTTCTCTCCAGTATGAATTTTCTTATGTTGAGTAAGGTTTGAGAACTTGTTAAAGGCTTTGCAACATTCTTTGCATTTGTAGGGTTTCTCTCCAGTATGAATTCTCTTATGTTGCATAAGGTTTGAGAACTGGGTAAAGGCTTTGCCACATTCTTCACATGTGTATGGTTTCTCTCCACTATGAATTTTCTTATGGCTAGTTAGCTGTGACCACCAATTAAAAACTTTGCCACATTCATCACATTTGTAGGGTTTCTCTCCACTATGAATTTTCTTATGGTTAGTTAGTTGTGACCACCAATTAAAAACTTTGCCACATTCATCACATTTGTAGGGTTTTCCTCCAGTATGAATTCTTTTATGTTTGGATAGGTTTGAACATCGATTGAAAACTTTGCCACATTCTTCACATTTGTATGGTTTCTCTCCAGTATGAATTCTCTTATGTTCAGTAAGGATTGACCTCCGGCTAAAACTTTTGCCACATTCAATACATTGAAAGATTTTGCTTTTAGTTGATGAACATTGAGTAAGTCTATTATAACATTCTTTCTGCCCCTTACCCTCATTCACAGTTCTCCAGTCTTTCACTAAGTGCAAATTGTCAAGGCCCCAGCTTCTATGTCTTGTCAGTGTCACTTTTTGGCATAAATCTTTCATATCCTGCTCTGGCAAAAGGTCTTGAATGGAATAAGATAAAATAGCTGAAAGAAATAAAAATAAAAAGTTATTCTGCTTACTAATCTCCAGTAAATACACTTTACAAATCTAATAAATATTATATCAAAGACATTAACAAGATGGCATAATAAAATACCACAGGCCCTGATTCCTTTTTGAACACATAAACTTAACAAAAATATACTGACCAAAATGTCTTTCTGAAAACTATAAAATCTAGTTAAGAGTTTGCAACACCCTAGGTGAGCACAATTGCAAAATCCACATAGAATAGAAAGTAAAGTTTGTTACATTTATACATAAAACCTTTCCTCCACCCCAATATAGCATGGTGTCTTTAAGAGTAAACTTCAAACTCCTGGCTTCTCCCTCAAAGCAAAAAAAAACCCAGAAAAACAAAACATTGCACATGTGCCCATACTTCTGGCTTTTAGGGGCTTTCCAAAGACTGGTTTCTGTCTCCCATAACAAAGACTGTTGAAAGAAATGGTGGTATGCTTTGAATGACAGCTTTGGTCTGCTAAGAAAAAGGTAAATAATTGTTACTGCAGCAGAGAGATCATAGTGCCACAGACAGACACCAGGTGTAGCACATGATTACAGGTTTTTACAAAGAAACATGAACAAATCTCTTTAGCTGAACAGTAAACACACGATTCCAGAGAAGACAAATCATAAGAAGAGGTTTGAGAGGCTACAAGGATCTCCAGCCTGGCAAATAGCTAGTAGTCTTCTCTAGGACAAAGCCACTTATAAAGAGTATGACAGGTGGCATTTTATTAATGCCCAAATATGAACCAAAGATTACAACATATGCAAAGTTATCAGGGTAACATGGTCCAATTAAGGAAACAAACTAAATAAAAAATTAATTCTAAGAAAATAAATATGTATAAATTATCTAAATAATTCAGATGACTCAGTAAGTGAAATGGGAACAAAGACAACTAAATAAAATCAGGAAATGTGAGTATCAACAAAATAATAAAATGTATAACAAGAAACAAAGTATGGGACTAAAGAATACAACAAAATAACAGAAATGTTTATACAAAAGATGTAAAAAAATCAATAATAAACACAAAAAGACCCATAAGAAGACACATTATAAGCAAGATTTTGAAATCACAGAGAGGAATAAGATGTTGAAAGCAGCAAGAGAAAAGTGATGTGTCATTTATAAGCATTCTCCTATGGGATTACCTGTGAATTTATCAACAGAAACTTTGCAGGGAAAAAGGGAGTTAAGTGATATAGTCAGGGTGTTCAAGCAAGAATACTATTAACAGTAAAACTGTCCTTCACAATTAAGAGAAGATGAAGACTTTCCAAGATAGCCAAATGCAGAAAAACTAAATCACCAGTAAAACTGTCCCATAGAAAATGTAAAATGGACTCTGGTCCATTGAAAATAAAATGTGTCATTAAACAAAAAATTATATACAAATACATAACTCTCTGGGAAAGATGTATACATACACAAAAATAAAATTCTGTAGTTTTATAATGATGGTGCTGAAAACACTTTTACTTACGCTCTACAATTTGAAAAATGCATGAGAACAATAATAAACATCTGTTGATGTCTATATAATATGAAATACATAATTAGTGACATCAATAATATGAAGTTTAAGGTAAATATAATGAAAAAAAATTTCTGTATGCAACTGAAATTAAGCTATTACCAGTTTATTATATGTTGTTGTAACTTTGGGGGTTTTATAATTCTCATGGCAACCACAAAGAAAATACCTATAGAGATACATATAAACACACACAGAAGAAGAGAGTAGAAACATGTTACTAAGCTCAGAAAACATACTGGAAGACAGAGAGAAAGAGGAAAAAATGGCTACAAGAATCCAATGAAACAATAAATGACAATAGTAAGTAATTATGTTTTAGACAGCTATTTAAATATTCGTCAACAAAACATCCCAATCAGAAGACTGAATAAAGAGATTTAGAAAAAATTTTAAAAACCACAAACTATGTCTTGTCTCCAAGAGACTAACTTTAGATGACTGGCATAATAGACTAAAAGTGGGAGGAAGAAAAAAGATTCCATGCAAATGGTAACCAAATGACAGTTGGAAAGGTAACAATTATATTGGGAAAAGTACATTATATGTCAACAACTGTTATATTTCACGAAGTATACTTTAAGCCAAACTTGTCACAAGAGAAAATATGAACATCAAGTAATAATAAAAGTGTTCATTTATTGGAAACATATAATTTATAAGCACGCATGAATACACATAAGATTTACTGAGAACATAGGTTCCCCACTAGGTTTCCCAAATATATATGTTTATTTAAAAATCCCACACAAATTTGAAATGCAAAGAGAAAACTAAATGGAAGTGTGACTATACAGGAAGAATAAAATCAGCAAGTTGTTGGAACAGGAGGTCCTCTTCTTGTATATCTCCCAAAGCAACAAAAACTTATCAACCATCTATGGACATAAGTGCCTTTGTGAGAGAGCCGGGCACCATGGCTCATATTTGTAATTCCAGCTATTTGAGAGGGTGAGGCAGAAGGATTACTTCAGGCCAGGTGTTTGAGACCAGCCTGGCTAATACAGCAAGACCCTGTCACACAAAAAGTACATTTATGATTGCTTTGTGATTCAGGGAGGGAGTTTTAACACCCTGCCAAAAGCACAAGACCAAGGAAAGCCTTTTTCGGAAAGTAAGTTTACCTTCAGATGGCAAACTTGAGGACCGCTGGTCTTGGCTACAGATAAGGAAATGGCCCATTTAACATGATTCCACTTAGAATTTTGAAGTAACACTGTAACTGTCATTAACTCCTCCCAGCCATAGTCAAGAAGAGGTACTGCCCATTCAGAGAGCTAGGGTCAGATGCTCATTCATGGCCATAGATGCAGAACTGCAGACCTTGACATTTACTGTGGTCTCTGAAGCAGGTGAATAACTCAGTTCTAGACCTTTAAGCTACATTCCATGGCCAGTCCTGCCAACCTGGAGACCTGTGACCTGGTAAAAACCTTGCAAGTACTGGGTGGGAGCGACACACATACAAACACTTGGTATTAGGCCAAGTGTCTGCCCTACAGATCAAAGTGCTGAAGGCAACTCAGTTGGCCAAGTAATAAGACAGACTTCATAAGCACACAAGCCCCTGGTAATAAGCCCACTAAAGATAGACCCCATTGTGGACCCTGCAACAACCTTAGGACTCAGGTATATCATCTCTCTACTGTGAACCCAGAAAAGATCTCATCAGCTGGGGACCCAATAGGATAAAATCTTTACCTGTATAAACCAGTTTATAAAAACTGGTAGAGGTGTTTGCTCCTTCAAATGCACAGACACCAATGCAAAGTGATATTGTGCCCATTATCAATGCTTCTATTTTAACATAGTCCTGGAAGTCCTAGACAGAACAATTAGGCAAGAAAATTTTGTAAAAGCCATAAGAACTGAAAAGAAATAAGTAAAAATATTGCTGTTTGTTGATGACATCATCTTATATGTAGAAAGCCTAAGAAATAAACCAAAAATCTTAGTAAAATAGCAGAATATAAAAGGTTATACAAATATCAGTTTTGTTCTAGTACACTAACTACAAACCATTTAATAAAAAAAACTCATTTACAGTAACATCTAAATTTCTTAGCAAAAAAATTTAAACAACATGAAAAATCTTTACATTGGGAAAGAAAATATTGATAAAAGAAACAAGAAAAAACAAATAAATGTAAAGATACCCAATGTTTATGAATTGGAAGACTAATTATTGTAAAGTGCCATATTATCCAAAGCAATCAAGAGATTCAATAAACTTCCTATCAAAATTACAATGGCATTTTTAAAAATAATAGAATAAAAATTTAAAATTTATATAGCATTACAAGACATTGAATTGTGAAAGCAATCTTGAGAAATAATAACAAAGCCGGGGGCATCATACTTTCTGATTTAAAGCTCTATTTGAAAACTATGGTAATAAGAGTAGGATGGCATAAACACGAAAACTGATACAAAAATGGAACAAAATAGAGAGCTCAGATATAAACCCATGCATATAAGGTCAATGAATCTTTAAAAAGGGCGTCAAGAATACACAGTGTACAAAAGATAGTCTCTTCAATAATTGAAGCTGGGCAAAAAGAATATCTACATGCAAGTGAAATTAGACCATTTTTTTCTTATACGATACCAAGAAATTAACTCAAAATAAAGACTTAAATGCCAGACAGAAATCCTTAAAAATCTTAAAAGAAAATATATTTTAAAAACTACTTGATATTGGTTGTGGTAATGATTTTTTGGATATGACATCAAAAGTACAGGCAACAAAAGCAAGTATTAACAAGTTGGACTGCATGAAACTAAAAAGCATCTGTACAGCAAGAAAAACAATAAAATAAGAAAATCTGCAGGATGGGAGAAAATATTTGCAATCCATAAATCAAATAAAAGGTAGATATCAACAATATATGAGGAACTCATAGAAATCAAAAGGAACACTAATAATGATAATATTAATAATAAAATTGAAAAACAGGCAAAAGACCCAATAGATATTGTTCCAATGAAGACATACAAATGCCAACAGATATATCAGAGGGCTATCACCAATCATCAGGCAATCACAAATTAAAACCATGATGAAATATCACTTCACACTTAAGATGACTAATACATATATATTAAAAAGTGAGATAACGGTTTGACAATAATGTGAAGAAAGGGGCTAAGAGCAGTGGCTCATGTCTATAATCCCAGCACTAAACTTTAGGAGGCTGAGGCGGGCAGATCACCTGAGATCAGGAGTTTGAGACCAGCCTGGCCAACATGGTGAAACCCCGTCTCTTCTAAAAATACAAAATTAGCTGGGTATGGTGGCACATGCCTGTAATCTTGGCTACCTGGGAGGCTGAGGCAGGAGAATTGCTTGAACCCGGGAGGTGGAGGTCATAGTGAGCTGAGATCATGCTATTGCACTCCAGCCTGGGCAACAAGAGCAAAACTCCATCCCAGACAAAACAAAACAAAACAAAACAAAACACACAATGTGAAGAAACAGAAATCCTGTACTGTATACTTTAAAAGTTGTAAATTGGTGAAGTCATTATAAAAATTGGTATGAAGGCTCTTAGAAAAAGATACAAGTAAAAAATTCAACAATCCCAGTTCTGTGTATATAACCAAAGGAAATGAAATCAGTATCTCAAAGGAATATCTGCATCCTCATATTTATTACGGTATCATTCACAATTGCCAAGATATGACAATAACCTAAATGTTTTTAGACACTAGATGGATAAATATGGTTTACATACACAATAAAATATTATTTGGTCATAAAAATAATTTAATTCTGCCATTTAAACAACATGGATGGACTGGAAAGACATTATGCTAAGTAAAATAAGCCAGACACCAAAAGGCAAATACTGTATGATCTCACTTGTATAGAGAATCCAAAACGGTGAAACTCACAGAAGCAGAGAGTACAGAGGGAGTTGGCAGGGCCTAGAAGTGAAGAAATTGGGAAGGTGTTTTTCAGTTTTTGTTTTTTTGAGACGGAGTCTTGCTCTGTCGCCCAGGCTGGAGTGCAATGGCAGGATCTGGAGTGCAGTGGCTGCTCGCTGCAGCCTCCACTTCCCAGATTCAAGCAAATTCTCCTACCTCTGCTTCCCGAGTAGCTGGGATTACAGGCACCTGCCACCATGCCCAGCTAATTTTAGTTTTTTTAAGTAGAGATGGGGTTTCATTATGTTGGCCAGGCTGGTCTCAAATTCCTGACCTCAAGTGATCCGCCCACCTTGGCCTCCCAAAGTGCTAGAATTGTTGTTTGGTTTTAAGATGAACAAATTTAAAAGATCGAATGTGTAATTTCATGAATATAGTTAATAATATCTTGTAGGCTTAAAATTTGCTAAGGTAGTAGACATTAGGAATTCTCACTCCAAATCAATTTGAGTGTGTTAATTATAGTACAATATGTACACATCAAATTTTTATGTTGGACATTCATAATTTTTATTTGTAAAAGAGTTGTTACACACACAAATATATATGCATGCATGTATATGTATGTATACCCCAGTAAGCTTTATAGTAAATAAAAACAAATTTAAAATATAGTTATTTAAAAATAAGGTAAAAGGTGGGAGTTTAATATATGCTCAGCAATCTTCCAAGCTCCCTAATAAAACAGTATTGTTTTTAAATGTAGGGAGTAGATATATTAAATTATATTACTGTTGATACTGTAACAATGTGGGCATAGAGTTTAAATTACCAATCTCAGTTTTTACTTAGAAAATAAAATTTTGAAGTAAGATAAGTTTAGATTTTCTTATATTTAGTGTTCTGATAAAATCACTGAGTATGAGCTTCTGTAAAATCACATTTGAAACCTCCATAGGACAGAAAATCATAAAGCTGAAAACACAACATATGTTTGTGGTGTTCCTGGGATTTCTGAACCAAATGCCAATATACCACTACTCTCACAAATTTCAGACAAGATGCAAAAAGAGAATTAAACGGTATAAAATAGAGTTCCTCAAAAATATGTAGATATTCCTATGTTCCACAAAGCAATGGAAAAGCAGTCAGATTATATAGTGCCTTATAAACCATGAAGAGGACTTTGCTTCACTCTGTAACCTCAAAGGAAAATCACTTCATGGTAGCGGAATCCTTAGAGAACTTAAGAGCATGGGGCAGAAGATGCTCCTGTGAAAGGAAGACAAAGAAACTCAGGCTTTTCTGAAGCAGAGCTGCCCAAACCACATTTTCATTTCTGGCTTTCTCTTTGACATTTGGGCCTCTAACCTGTGTCATCTACTTTATTTACTCCTACCTGCCTTGAAATTTGGCTACTATCACCTGTCTCTTTAAACTCCCAGGCTGTTTTCTTTGTTCTAGACAGGTGACCAGGTCTGGATTAGACATAGCAAGACCTGTTTCATTAGAAAAAATAACATGACTCTTGCTGGCATGCTCCAATTACCAACCTAGTACGGTGCTTGGTAGGAAAACAATTTTTTAGAAGGTTCTAGAAAATTACTCCCCAAATACTATTTTCTGACATTAACTATACAATATTTAGAAAGGACTTTAAATATATAGGTTCTTTTTGTTTGTTTGTTTGTTTGTTGAGATGGAGTTTAGCTTTTGTTGCCCAAGCTGGAGTGCAATAGCGTGATCTCGGTTCACTGCAACCTCTGCCTCTCAGGTTCAAGTGATTTTCCTGCTTCAGTCTCCCAAGTAGCTGGGATTACAGGCACATGCCACCATGCCCATCTAATTTTTTTTTTTTGTATTTTTAATAGAAATGGGGTTTCACCATGTTAGCCAGGCTGGTCTTGAACTCCTGACCTCAGGTGATCTGCCCACCTCGGTCTCCCAAAAACGTATAGGTTCTTAGCTCCACTACCCAATACTACTGAATCAAAACTTGGTAGTGTAATTAGATTTTGAGGTGTGGGCAACAGTATCTTATGCCACTAAAGTTCTGGAATTACCAGTCATCTAGACTGAAGAATTTAGACCTTAAAATTTATGTCAAGATGAAACATTTTGAAGATTTTATTTTGTACACCAACAAATTCCCAAGTTTTCCTTAGAAGCAGAGATCAAAAACTCATTCATGCAAATGACAAACTCTCAGGTAACATTTCAGGGGTGAAAAAATATGAAATTCATAGTATGAAATATAAATTGTGTATTGAAGTTATCCTCACCCAGGGAGACCAGGTTTCTGTAGTTCTCGAACATCACATCCCTATACAAATTTCGCTGGGCAGGGTCCAGACATGCCCACTCCTCTGGAGAGAATTCTATGACCACATCACTGAATGCCAATAGTCCCTGGGGGGAAAAAATACACACACATTTACAAAATGTGCCATGGGCAGAGTTCTTAATTTGACTCCAACTGAATTGAAGAGAGTAAAGTGAACTTTTTCTGGCATAAATTGTCCAGTAAGATACTGTTTAAAACACAAAAGATTCTCAAATGCATTCTGTAACTCTAAGGAAAGAGGATGGCATAAGATTTACAAAACCAGTGTAGATGCTATACTTTTGTTAAGTGTTATAGTATAAAAATAAGGGTGCCAATACAGGCATTACATATTGGACAGCTATATTTACATTACACAAGATAAGTTGGATAAATTTCTCAGAAGGAAAAATCATCTGAAGTGCCTCTCAGATTTTAATGCATATGACAAGAAATTGGAAATCTGTTTAAAATGTAGATTTTGATTCTGGGCTGAAACCTGACTTTCTGAATTTTGAACAAGTTCACCTGTGATGCCAATGCTTCTGAACCAAGGAGAATATTCCGCCAAACATTAAGTGGCAGAGCCTGCATTTATCTCAGTTCATTTGACCATTAAATAAGAGCCTTCATTTTCCAAGGTCAAATAATCTAAGAAGGAGAACTTCCAAATTAAATGTGATGGTTCATGCCCATCAGTTATTAAATCTCCCCAATGTACTTAATAATACAGAGAAAACTAATTTGCTTTATAGTGAAGAAATCTGTCAGAAAGCATCTTAACCTAGTGAATAAAATTAACACCAACTGTAACAGAAAAAACTGGTATCACATGTAAAAATGCACAGGAGGAGGTTACAACATTATTGCTATAACAGCATAGGTCAAGAAGGCAAAATCTGAATCTAATCATAAAGAAACATCAGTTTCATGCAAAATTCCATCAACTTTCTTTTAACTAATCCAAGGACCCGAATCCATCTCCAGTGGGAATCTTGGGCATCCACACCTTCCCATGTTCAACAGATACAAAACATTCATTTTGCAGGTCAAAAATTTATAGTAAAGATTGCTTATGGCACTTAAAAAGCCTGAATGGATATAAAACATTGATATATAGGAAAGAAATATTTTTCAGAGCCCCTTGACTATCATAAGAAGAAAAATTTAAAAAGTACTTGAAATAAATTTATTAGGCAGAAACATTACAAATATATAAATAAAAGTCTGCAAGTTTTAAACACATGACATTTCTGGAGAAACAGCTGACCCAGCCCCTGACCTAGTACTCATTTACCCGAGAACCAGCCATTTCTTCCTCTTTTTCTGATTTCTGTTCAGATGAGATTATTTGGACAAATCACACATCTTGAGAATATGCCTTTAGAGATGTCAGCACAACTCCTTCACCTGCTATGACCACACACACAGGCAGAAGGATCTTGAAATGCAGAAAAAGCTACTTTCCTGTTTCTTCATCATAGAAGACAGGAACAATGAGCTCCTACATAAAGGTCAAAATGTGAGTTTTCATTTTCCTGCCATCAAGTGCCCTTCTGTCCCATGGAAGCCAGCAATTTTGGCTACAATAATAAAAATATTGCCTGCACTGACTTGACCACACCAAACCAAAGGAGAGCAGACCCTGTGACCTTCCTCTGGAACAAAGGCTGAACTCAACTCTCTCAAATGTATCTAAGGGCCCTCATGCTTGACCCTGGCCTTACCTTAGGATCATATGGGGTACGAAACTAAAACAACAATGTTCTTACCCAGACCAATAGACAGAACCTGTGGGGAGGGTATAAGTGAGAGTATTTCTTTAAACTGGACATGTGATCCTAATTGGAGGCTTGGGCTGAGAGCCACTGAGCTAAGCATTGCTTTTGAAACTTCAATGTGCATATATCATTTGCTATTCTGAGCCCCACTTTAAGTAATGTGATTCTGTAGGTTTGGAAGAGGTCTATTAACTGGCTCCTGTAAGAAGTCCCTGTTCATGTTAATGTTGTTCCTCGTAGGTCCATCATGAGTAGCACTTAGGTAGAAAACTACAGGCACAACAAACAGAGTCCCTTTACACAATACTCTTAGCCCAATACAAATATTTTTGGTCCAAAGTGAAGACCACCAATCACAATTCTGAAACATGGCATTATCTGCTAGCCCTTTAAAGTTTAAAGAAGACCACAATGTCTGAGCAAATCTCCATTTGGGAAACAACTTGTGCATATACATTAATGCAATGTTTATGGAGCACGTACCATGTGCTGGGAAGTACATTACAAAACACTATGCGGGGAACTTCACATTATGTGAGTTAATCTTCATAAAACCCTGGGAGGTAGATGCGAAGTGTCTCATAATTGCCAGGATGTGAATACAGGGCATACTCTTTCTATTTCTTTTTCCATTTATCTATCACTGATTTTAAAAATAAAACGTATAGGCCGGGTGTGGTGGCTCATGCCTGTAATCCTAGTACTTTGGGAGGCTGAGGCGGGCGGACCACCTGAGGTCCAGAGTTCGAGACCAACTTGGCCAACAAGGCGAAACCCCGTCTCTACTAAAAATACAAAAAATTAACTGGGCGTGGTGGTGGGAACCTGTAATCCCACACTTGGGAGACTGAGCCAGGAGAATCGCTTGAACCCAGAAGGCAGGGGTTGCAGTGAGCCAAGACTGTGCCATTGCACTCCAGCCTGGGTGACAGAGCAAGACTCCATCTCAAAAAAAGAAAAAAAAAAAAAAGAAAAAAAGAAAAAAAAGGAATAAAATAAAGCTAAATATAGATGGAAGAGACACAGAAATAAGTGTGGCATATAGGTTAGAGGAACTTTTTATTGTTGTATTTATATTTACTGTTTTATAACTTGGAGAACAACTAGTGGATCCGAAGAAATAGAGAACAGGTTACTGAGTAAAATGTTTTTAGAGACACAGATTTTAATTAAAAAATAAAAATTAAGGCCCCAAAATATAGTCTTTGGCTCCCATTTATCTGTTTGGATTTGGGGAAATTGTGGGAACCAGGTTTGGGGAGGCAGCAAGAGCAGCTACTGAAACCTCTGATCTCCCCTAATCAGTTCTGTGAGGGCAAATTCCAGGGTGGAAACATATTTAGACAAGGTTTCGAAGCGCGTGAATCTGGGCAGGGCTGGGACCCTGGGCTTCACATCTTTATACCACTGGCTGATTTTCAGTTATGTCTTTCCTAAGGCTGCCCACAAGAAACTTGACTTTCACAGTTTGTGTGATTTCAATTGTTTAAGCCAATTCTCTATTCTGTATGTAACAATAAATATAACATAAACCTTTAGAATTTTCTGGCACTAATATATTAGAAGCTAAATATTTTATTCCTAAGAAGGTAAAAGCATTTACTGCCACCACCACTGCTGTACTACTACTACTACTACTACTACTACTACTACTACTACTACTACTAACTCCTACTCCTACTCCTCCTCCTTCTCCTCCTCCTCCTACTACTAATAATTCTGTTCAAGAATGGCCATTCAGGCCAGGTGCAGTGGCTCATGCCTGTAATCCCAGCACTTTCGGAGGCCAAGGCGGGCGGATCATGAGGTCAGGAGATCGAGACCATCCTGGCTAACAAGGTGAGACCCCATCTCTACTAAAAATACAAAAAAATTAGCCGGGCATGGTGGCGGGCGCCTGTAGTTCCAGCTACTTGGGAGTCTGATGCAGGAGAATGGTGTGAACCCGGGAGGCAGAGCTTGCAGCCTGCAGTGAGCCGAGATCCTGCCACTGCACTCCAGCCTGGGCAACAGAGCGAGACTCCGTCTCAAAAACAAAAACAAACAAACAAAAAGAATGGCCATTCAGGTAGTGACATCAGAACTCACAATAACATTATGGAAGTAAGGAGTTCAAATGAAGCCCAAGTTCCCTGTGCACCTATATCTCTATTTTTTTAAAAAACTGGCCACATACTTCCAAATTCAAGCATTTACCTACATTTTCTAGACTGAAAGTTCATGCATGATGGAGCCATGACAGCTCCATTTGCTTTTCTAATAGCCATACCAAATGGAGGCAATTGGCCTATATATTACTTTGCATCTCCAGATCTCCTCTTGGTTCTTCATCCAAGTACCAGGAAACTGAAGAAACCCCCATCTAGGTACCAACCAAGAAGATTCATTCTATGAGGGGAGAAACAAACCCTAGATGCCTTATTTCTTTTCCACTGAGATGAAAGCAAAATACCCCATCAACAGTCTTCACAGGACATCCCTAAATGTCTCATAGAATCTCGGATGCTGATGAGACGGGTTCCAGTAAGCCTAGGCTGATGTCCCCATGATGAATCAGGCAGGACCAATTCAAGGTACTTCTATGAGGCCAGGAAAGTAAATTAAACTGCCCTTGTAAAGCAGCCAACCATGTTGGATACTACCTGTCTCTGATCAGCTAACTCTTGGGTAAGACGAAAGATAAAACTATCCTACTCCAGTAAGAGTTCACAGATGAGGTGTAGTTGTGGTCATGACTGGACGTTTTGTGGTGCTGACCTCTCATTGCTAAGGTACTTGTTTACACTTACAGATTCTTCCAGGTTTTGCTGAAGGTAGGCTTTACTCTCCAAAAGAAACTCTGAGACAGGGTGCTCTACTTTTTACTATTTGTACAACTGCAGCAGGTCACTGGATAAAATCTACAAAACATGGAGAAACCCACCCCAAAAGAGGGACTTTACAAAGTCTACGTTGATGTCTCACAAGGTAGATGTCTCCCCTGAGTTTTCTATCCATCCTCAGTTCAAAGTCTAGCCCTTTATTTTGCATCTTAGGCAAATGACAGCCCCTCTGTGTGGACTCTAGGCAGAGTCAACCTGGTTTACTATTTCTGGGAGCTACAGAATGGGGAGAAAATCTAGAGGAGATATGCCCTCATGGAGGCTTCTCTAACAGATGCTGAAGAACCCCAGGACCTAGATTCAAAAGTTTACGCTGCAGACTTAGGTCTTTGAAGGGCAGGAATGTGACAGGTGCCCTCTGTAGATTCCTGGGCATTTGGACAGCAGGAGAAGGAATGAAGTTGAGGGTCTTAACGCCTACTC